GAATAATCATTTAGCATCAAAGATCATAATAATATTGGTATCTTTGAGTTTTTTCTAAGTCAATATTATGGGATTTTAGGTTTCATTTTTTTTTTCTACCATATCTCTTATTTTATATTAGGCTCCTTGTAAATATTAAAAATTCCGATAAAGAAGACAAACATTAATTATTTATTTATAATTTCGATGTAACTAAAGGCATCATTTGTTGAGTTATATGGTCAATTCAATAACAATAAACAAATATGATAAAACATGAGCATCTTTATTAATAAATCTCTACAAATATACATTTTTTTCTTTACTTCTCATCATATTATTCAAAATTTCATTCTTACTCGATGTATATCTTTAAGCCTCTAATAACAATAAACCCAACAAAATTACAATTTTAGTCATGTTGGTTTGATCAAGTAGCGTTTTAGTTTTAAGAATTGAACATTTTTGCTATTCAGTCCTATAATTTTAAAATTCAATATGATTTTAGTCATTTTAAAACTGAAAATGCAACAGAACTTAAAATTACAAGACTTAAATTGCTAATAAAAAATTTTTTGGATGTATTTTTTATAAACAATTTAAGTCCTGTAATTTTACATTCTGTTGCAATTTTGACGTGAAGATAATGTGCATGAAAGAGAGTATTAATTTTTGTTTGAATAAATGGAAGGGTAGTGGATGCCTCATGTCATAAAAATATTATAAACATTTGAGTACCTAATTCGCCAAAATCCTTTTTTTTTCCATTTTCTTATTTTAAATCATGAGTCCAGTTTTTGGGTGCAAATTGTTGAGTGTGGTACATAAAAAACTATATCGAATATCCTCCCTATATATAATTTCAGAATGCGCTGAGCCTACGTGGCTGCTTCTGGTGCTTCGAAATCCTATTTGGCGAAAAATCATGCTTCGTAACTAGGTTTGGATAAATAATATTGATATATTAATAATTAATAATCTAGGTTCGGGTATTCCATAAATATTATTTAGCTAACTTAGGTATTTTAATATCATTTTTATTAATATAACCCTTTAATTCTTTGTAATTTTACACAGTGAGACACTAAGTGACTAATATATCTCTGAATTTTGATTTGTTTCCTTCAATAAGCTATTGCATTATAAATGTATTTTAAAAGTTGATAACTTTTGTATTTCTTATCGGTTTTACATATATAATATATCAAATTAATCATCTTTTGATGATATTCGATTTGACATCCATATTGTAATAAATTATATTTATCTTTATAATAATAATAAATAATAATATTTATTAAAATTCATTAAAAAAATAATATATATTAATAATTAATAATCTAGGTTCGGGTGTTCCATAAATATTATTTAGCTAACTTAGGTATTTTAATATCATTTTTACTAATATAACCCCTTTAATTCTTTGTAATTTTACATAGTGAGACACTAAGTGACTAATATATCCCTCAATTTTGATTTGTTTCCTTCAATAAGCTATTGAATTATAAATGTATTTTAAAAGTTGATAACTTTTGTATTTCTTATCGGTTTTACATATATAATATATCAAATTAATCATCATTTGATGATCTTCGATTTGACATCCATATTGTATATATGAAATAAATAAATTATATTTATCTTTATAATAATAATAATAAATAATAATATTTATTAATATTTATTAGAAAAATAAAAGTATTTCTCAATTAATATATTTATGTTTAATGTAGTTATATGTTGTAAGTTAAAAAAATTATCATAATATAACACAGTAAGTTGCACAAATAAAAAGTGTCATACTAAATATATAATAATATATATATATATATATATATATATATTTTTATAAAAGATATTTAAATTTTGAACTATTTTTTCTCATTAATTTTAAATTTTAAGAAAAAAAATTAGCAAACACCCGTGTAATACACGGGCGTTGTACTAGTTGTACATTAAACGTAAAATTCCCTCTCTAAGAGAGCTTTGTTCTCCTCGGAGCCCTAATTCCGCTTTGTGCAGGTATGATCTCATCTTCTCATCGATTCCACCCCAACTACTTTAAGCATACTTCTTTTTCTCTCTAATCCTTTTATTAGATCCTTTTATTCTCGTCATCCTAGCTCGGGTTTCTCTTCTAGGGTGCTTCGGCCCGCCATGTTTTGCTTTTTCTTTTGCTTCTTTTCAGATCATCTCTGATTTTGGGAAGGTAACAAGTGCCACAAGATTAGCCTGCAGGCCATGGAGGAAGACTTGTCTTCTAAATTAGAATCAATCCAGTTGGAGGGTAAGAAGCAAGAGGATATAGAAATAGTACCGACCGATGTCCAAAACAGTGAGGAAGAATGTCTCAGAAGCCTCTTTGGAAAGATTATCGGGCAGAAGAAAGCGAATATCACGGGGCTCAGGAGAGCTATAAGTCAGATGTGGTATATCAAATCAGTAGTCATAGTGAGAGATATCTAGCAACTTTTTCCAGTTCATATTTTCTGAAATCGAGGATAAGGAAAAAGTCAGCAAGGGTATTAACTGGACTTACGAAAACCAGTTTCTGAAGTTGCATAATTGGGAGAGAGGCATAACAGCTGAGCACCCATGCTTTCAAGAGATTGAGATATGGGTTCAAGCCTGGAATATCCCTATTCACTGGATTTCGATGGAGGTGGGTCTGAAAATTGGGAGTGTCTTCAAAAGAGCTCTGGATGTCTCTGTTCCTCAAGGAGGTCCGCTAGCTGGGAAATGCCTTAGAATCAAAGCGGTTCTGGATGT